CTAATATAAAAGAAAACTTATATACATTAAGCAGTTATTTATATTATGTTAATGAATGTTCATAAATCGAAAATGTCCTTTATGATCGACAATTTCTGACAATCTTCTTTGTATCTTTCTTACAATTTTTAAAATTTGTGATTCGTTTAAGTAGCTAATTCCTGTTACATAATCTTGAACCTAAAACAAGAAAATGTTTTTTTAAAATTTAATTACATTCGTTAGATAATTTATTATTATTTCATACAGACAAAAACAACATGCAATAAAATATCGTATTCCGTAAATGGAAAGAACAAAGCGTAACAATCAGAAACGTACTGCATCATGCAGTCATTATTATAATTCAAAACGGTTACACAAATAAAAGATTAAACTTTATTCTCGCAATAGTTTACTCATTATTTAATTCTAACAATTAGAAAAAGATAAATAGCCAAAACCGAAATTAAAATTAATACACTGATGAAATCTGGCCTAATAGAAAACTGACAAATTTAAAGAATTTGAAATGAATTTATTTACCTTCTTAAGATTCTTGTAAGAATATACATGATTAATGATATCAACCAGCGCTGTTAATATGTTTACTTGTCTAAATAAAATCAATTGGTACAAATTTATATTTTATTATATGTATTTGTATAATATATATTATAGTTAATTATAATGTATATTTATCAAAAAATTTACTTACGTAGGTCTTCTAAGTTCTAAAGATATAAGTATCTTTTCGAGTACGTCATATGCGTTAGAATGTTTCATAATAATTGAATGAAAAATGTCTATATGTAATCGAATAATTGTAATATCATGTCTTTCATCTTCTGTGAATAGCTCCAAAAATGATAAAGAAGTAAATGTACCATATTCAGAACAAGTTAGGAACGATAACAATTTACGGTCATATTTTTTTAAGAAATCTGTTACGTCTGACCATATAGAAGAATTAGCTATTCGTAAACCATTGCAGTATGTCCAGTGCTTCCACCAAGATAAAAGGCTGCAGATTCAAAAAAAAGAAAAACACATATAAACATATTATTTATTACATGTGTCAATGGAAAATTTGTCATAATTTGGAATGCAAAACGAAATTGCACTTATAGAAAAAATATTACGGCCTGCTTTCATGATTCTCGAGATGATGCTCTAATTTGCGAAGAGCTGATCGTTCGCACTCATCGTATTGGAGGGTACATGCCCATTTCACAATTTCTTGTCTTAAACATTTAGTAAAGTCATTTTCCATCAGCTGTTCTTCATATCCTAGTGTTTTCAATGGCTTTTCCAACAATTTTCTAAATTTTTCCTAAATGACGCAAATTTTATATTTTCATTGATCGTAATGAAGCACGGTATTATAGATAGCACTGATAATTAATTGTAATGAATTCAAAAGGGATTCTTTCTACATTCTTTTTATAATAATCTTCGAAATGAATTTCAGAATTTAAGATGTATGGATCAGATGTATGGTTCTGGTTAAATTTTATATTAGAAATCTAATTGAGGTAACTCATATTGATAAAATAAATTATTAAGATTAATATAATATTATTCTGGTAATAATATATAAGAATTCTAACAGATCTTACCAAAATATTTGTA